GGATGGCCGAAAGTCTAAGTCAATTTCGGCCGAAACCGAAGAAAAACCGAAAGTTAACTTTTCTCTTTCGGCCGAAACCGAAATTAAGCCGAAAGTTAACTTTTCAGTTTCGGCCGAAACCGAAACTTGGCCGAAAGTGATAAAATGGCCACTTTTGGCGCCGAAACCGAAGCCGAAGCCGAAATTCGGTCGGTCTCTAGTTTTAAGCCATGTTAATAGTTTTGGCAGACTGATGGAACTATCTTGATGGGCTTTTGGGATAAATCATTTTAAAGGAGAAAAAAATTGTTAATGTTTTTTATAGTAAATTATAGAGGGAATTATTAAAGCAGATGTTTTCACTTCAATATACAAGAATGTTGTTTGTATTTTGACCTGAGTTCTTGACTACTGCATTGAAACATGTAAGTTTTAAAAATATGAAATCTTGTCAAAAGTAATTAATTTAATAGTCTCTTGTGGACGAGAGAACGTGTCATGGTTTCGTTTCATCTTCTCTTCTCTTCTCTACAAGAGACCATTCTATTAAATCTCCTTGATCTACAGATGACAGGCGTGCCCAATTGTTGACATTTAATTTGTATTAAAGTCTCTATAGAAAAAAAATTGTTTAATGGCTTGAACAGCTCTGGTCCACACATGGGCTAAGAGCTTTCTTCTGCTTATCATGTTAGTGTCAAACAATGTTCTGTTGAATGGGAAGTCATTACCTCAACTGTGCCTTGCTATTCACACTGGAATCATTCACTTTATGTCCACTACTGGGATAATAATGTCATGTTCCTTATTGTACTTTACAGGTCTGAATGTGTCGTCAGTGTGGGGCTGCTCATCCAAATAAATTATGGTTGTAGTTTTGTATGTGAGAATGAAGTACATCTTCAAAGATTGAATAAAAAATATAATTCATTTGACTTGAAGCATAACATTGTCACATGACATTAAAAGTTTAAGTTTTGATGTACCATTTAGACTAATTTTCTCTGTATATTCAAAAGATTGGCTTTTGAAAAATAATTAGTTGGGGTTGGAATGTATTTAACTGCTGTACACAATCTTGTCAACATTCTTTCTGTTTCTCATCATCTGTGTTAACATTACATTTTTGTTAAAAACATTTTCTTGCTAGGTGTGTTTCATGCTGTCCAAGTCCTAGATATAATTTTGTGTTGTTATTGCCTTGGACAAAATTGTTTTGATATTGATGCACTGTTTCAATCAACATTTTGATCAGTTGTTTTGCTTTTTTTCTAAATGGGTTTTTTTTCTAAATGGGTTTTTTTTCTAAATGGGTTTTTTCTCTAAATGGTTTTTTTTTCTTTAGAAAATGCTGGATTTTTAATCATTTTCTCATTTGAAATACTCAACCTACTTTTTATTGGAGGTGGGCTTTTCATACATCCTCATAAAATGTGATAAATTGGTTTGCTATGGAAATATATACTAGAAACCGTATTAATGTTTTGTTTGCTGTAAACTTTGAGTACAAGAGTAAGCTTTTCTTAGACTTGCAATTTTACTGATGTTTCTGCTACTCGCTGATCCTCTACAATTGAGAATTCTAACTTTACCTCCGAAACAGTCCACAACGAAATAACAACTTTGCTGGGTACTGGAAAAAGAAAGCTGAACTTTCATTTTTTAGCCGTGTCCTTGTGATATTTTAGTCAATGGAATTTAATTATATTTTTACAAATTTTTTGTTAACATGCATTTTTTCAATGATAAAATGAACATCTATATCAGCTTAGAAATGTTTTGTAAAAGAAAATATAAATAAAATGAAGGATTTTGTTTAGCCGTGGAATGGCGACACATTTTACACAATCTGAAGCTCTGGTCTTATTAATGATGACACTGCTAAACACATTTTACACAAACGACTTGAGCATAACAGGGCAATTTATTATTAAGTCAATCTTTGAATCATCCGTATTGTTTTTAAGAGGTTATAGAATTTACAAGCAGCTCTTTATTGCTGTCTAGTTGGCTATTGAAAATTCTTATCGTTAACAATTTAGCAGAAGCCTTGCGATAAATCTAGAAATTTGAATATGCTAATGGGGAATTTTATTCATTGCTGTTAGGTATCTTGGAGCCTGTTACTGGGATGGGTGTGAAGTTATGTTTTGTTAATGACCAGACATTCCTGTAACGTTATCTGACATGGTTCGTTAGAGGTTCTTGCAATATTTGATCAATGTATTGGTAGCAAGAATTGCTGAATAGTTTCATATCACAGCTGAAGAAAAGGAAAACCCTCTTGCCTCCACATTTAGAAAATGTTAGTATCCCAATGTGTCATGTTAGTATCTCAATGTGTCCTGTTAGTATCCCAATGTGTCATGTTAGTATCCCAATGTGTCCTGTTAGTATCCCAATGTGTCCTGTTAGTATCCCAATGTGTCATGTTAGTATCCCAATGTGTCCTGTTAGTATCCCAATGTGTCCTGTTAGTATCCCAATGTGTCATGTTAGTATCCCAATGTGTCCTGTTAGTATCCCAATGTGTCCTGTTAGTATCCCAATGTGTCATGTTAGTATCTCAATGTGTCCTGTTAGTATCCCAATGTGTCGTGTTAGTATCCCAATGTGTCCTGTTAGTATCCCAATGTGTCCTGTTAGTATCCCAATGTGTCCTGTTAGTATCCCAATGTGTCCTGTTAGTATCCCAATGTGTCCTGTTAGTATCCCAATGTGTCCTGTTAGTATCCCAATGTGTCTTATTATTATCTCAATGTGTCCGCTGTTGTGCACTTTGATAAAATCACTTTACACTTTTACCGTTTTTTCAACAGCATTTGATTTTTTTTGCTAACCTTTCTTTTTTAAATTAGTGACGATGACTAAAAAACTATTCAGCATGTTTTTGTTTTGAGACCTAGTAGGCCGTTATTGGATGTAACTATTGCTTTAATCGAATCTATCACTATTGCAGATAATGTTCTATTGTTAACCTCCTATTTCATTTGGTTTCTCGGCAAGGAAAAG